ATAAAGGTAAGGCTCGTGTGGATTTTAGGCTCCAGTGTTCTCACAACAAAGGTGATTTTGCCCAAAATGAATGTCTGTACTTTGACCTAACTTGTCTAGTTTCAAGTAACCACAATTATCCAAAAATTACAAGCCAGCCAGTCAGTGATTATGTGATATCAAGTGTGGGACCAGTAATATCAAGCAATAACAAGAACAATATCTTGGGATTCTCTTTGGATTGGTGGACGTTGGACTCTTCACTGGTCACACGTTTATCTTGGCTCTCCACCATTTTCTCTGGTTGAGTAGCCTAACCACGCCGTTTCAATGATAGTACTGCCCAAATATGTACATCACCCACTGTCCATGTAAGAGAGTAAAAGAGTTCAAAACATTTCCACAAAACTGCACACTAACACAACACATTATTAAAGATTGAACAGTAGGTGTAAACAGAGGCTATCAACCAGAAAAAGGATAAAATCTCACTACGAAACTCAACCCCAGCGTGTGAGGTTATGAAGGTTGCACAAACTTTTGAATAAAGCAGAAAATAAACAGTAAGTTGGGCAAAGCAGTGCAACCTGTTTTGTTTCCTTTTGTCCCCCCTGTAGTTTAACTCTTGTAGCAATTCACAGCTTTTCTCAAGGGCATCCTGACAGTAGCTGCTGAGAGAGAGAAGCCCTTTCCTGTTTTTTCCTACTTTTGTAAATTCCTTTACTACATGAAATATTTCTCCTCAGTCAAAGATATAGACCCGTAATCTCCGGCTCACAAGCCTACTCTTCAAACCTCTGGGCGCCTGCAGCCTAGCCGACCCTGGGGTAATGTAGCTGCCCGCCCCTCGGAGTCTGCTTTGTCGGTCTGCGATGCCTTTGTCGACCCAGTCGTCGCGTTGCTTGCTTTCCATTTCTGACTCCGTCTTACTGGGAGACTGATGAACACTGACCACCCCTCACCGCAAAATGATACGCTCACGTTTTCACGAGGACATTATCTGTCTGAGCCCATCTTCACGGATGCTGCCACTTTTATTCATGCATGTATGAATCACTCAAAGACAGAAAGACCAACAGACAGGCAAAGACACAGTCATGGGACCCATCTGACCCTCTGTACTATGTTCTCCGGGTGAGTTATGTCTCATTGTTCCTTTCTGTCACTCTCGCAACGGGCCACAGGACAATCAGACTGGCCTCATAGTGCCACATTCACTTCTCCGACCCGGGTCTGATGTCACACCTCTCACTTCACATTCTCATTACTTCAGGCTGTTATTAATTTATTTAATCAATAGCTGTTTAAGTTCTCCCTCCCAGAAATCCATAACGGCAGGCCGATTCACCAAGCTGCTACATCAAGTTATGAGCGGGAGTTGTGGTGTCTCTGGCGAATCAGATGCTCGCTTCATGGGTTAAAATCCAGGTTGTAATATACAGAGCGGCGCATTATTTGCATTATGGAAGCATAGTCATCATCTTCAGACATTTTGCTCAACCCAGTCAAGTCATTTACACAGGGCTTCAGTAAGATTTCTCTTCATGCACTTTTGGAGTGTTTGACGCTGACTCAGAGCTCATACCAGTCCAGTGGCTCCATTGTTGCCATCGGCTAAACTCTCCAGCCTCCCTGTGAAAGATTATGAAACTGGCTTTAAAATAGAGAGCAGCAGCTCACCAGGGCTTTGGATGATTTGAGGCTAAATATATGTAAAAGGCAGCTTGGTCCACGGGCTAGAGTGGGATCTGGGTGGATGGCAGCCAAGGCCTTTGGTGTCTCTTTTTTAATTTTTTCTTTTTTTTTTTTTTTTTTTTTGCACTCTGAATCAGTTTGGTAGAAAGATGCCCTGGAAACCAAAACCTAATGAGAGCCAGCACGACTCAGAGGTTCTGGGTATTGAAGTAAAAACGGCTTTATTGTCGTGTGTTATAAAATATTTATTGTTTATACTGCTTATAAATGATAAAATGGGGGATACAAATTGGTGTCGGAACAAAAACAGGGGCCTTGTGTAAAGCTGTGAACATTGTTTTACAGTGTAAGATTTCCATAGATATCATAGTGATAATTATGTTTTGACTGTTAAGGTCAGACTTTCTTCTGTGCTTTTTGCATGAGCATTTCAGGATAGACATTTCAGCATCACAGCATATCCGGCAACAATGCAACAGCTGGATTAAAGTGGCAAAAGGTCATATCACAAGCTGTCATGTTGGAAAACGAGGTTCGTCACAATTCATCCAATATTCATTTTATATGATATGACTCATCTTTACTGACCTTCCTGCCATTGTGTCTGGCATTATCTTTCCCTCTGTCTTTTAAAATGTTAAGAGTTTAAAACAAAAAAAACAAACAAAAAAAAAAAACAGCTGAGATCATGAAGCTACTGAGTCTCTTCCCTGAATCTGCTGGCATTTGTGCAACTGGAAGCAAACCTGCCTGTCATTTCGATCTCTTTACTCAAGTCATATTATACAAGCTCTGTCAAGTTCAGTTTCCTCCAAGACGCCCAGGTTTCTCATTCACTGGGTGACTGCAGGATTGGTTCCTCAATAGCGGGCTGGCACAGGCTGAAGCACCAAACTGAATAGCTTCAGGTGTAATCCTCACCTGCTCTCTCACTGTTAAATCCCAAATGTTTTGATTTATTTTGTCTCTCCTCTCCATTTGTTTGGGTCTCTTTTCAGCTATGGAAGGGATTTAGCAGTAAGGGATTAGTGGGCCCTGTTTATAGTGTTCAAGCAGGAAGAAAGTGATGTCAAGGCATTTCCTCTCTCACATGGCAACATAGGTCCAAAACACATTTGTGAGCACATGCACATACAGCTACATATATACCCACCCCATACAAATACCGCACTGTATATGCTCCGCTGCACCTGCATCCTGTTATCAGCTCCATAAATGACTCCATACTCTGACTGAGGCAACGTCTCGCTTATTCTTTATTATGTGATTAAAGCAGCACAAGAAATAGATGCTGATGCACAAAGCTTTTCATGCTGGCACACCTGAGCCGCAGAGGGAGTGACAGAGCACATTTTTTCTTTTCACATAGCTGCTTTTTAACTGCTGCTTTGAAGTTTCCGCTGTTTTGTGCATCCGAGCCCTTAAACAATGGACCACAGTCGTGAATGTCCAGATCATGTCTGTCAGTGTGGGGTTTTCTGTGGTTGCATGCACAAGAAGAGTGGACGGGAGGGAGGGAGGGAGGGGGAGGATGGGGGTCTGGAGGAGAGCGGCCTCATCGCTCCAACACATGGTGCCCAGACTAAACAAGAAGATGAATGTTTCCTGAATTCAACCTGGCACGCAGGCACCCCCGGTCCGCCCGTGTGGCTCGACTGACCGACTGAAAGACTCGCATTCAGCGCAGAAGAAAGGAGAGGTTAGAGGAGAGGAGACGAGAGTTTAGCTCAGCGGATGGAAGAAAAAGGCGAGAGAGAGGTTTAGTCTGTTCATTTCAAGTTTGGACTCCAGCACAGTAGCATCAGTAGCAAATGATAATTCCATTTTTTTACAAATTGGGTAACTCATAGCTGAGCTCTTGGAGTGCAGGAGTGACACTAAGTCAGATGTGGGGAAAGAAATATAATCAGTCAGACTGCTTTAGAGGATTTTACTCATCAACTTGAGTTTACTCATCATGAGGCGCACGAAACAGCCTGTGAAAACACTATCCTCTGTAGCTGTGTGTGTGTGTGTGTGTGTGTGTGTGTGTGGAACTTATTTGGAGGAGGAAAAAAAAAAGGGGAACAGTGAATTTATTACCCAGACTGTCTACAACAAACATCCATTGGTTCATCTCTGACCTATGAGTTTGCCATAGCCTTGAATTATCCTCACCGACTCACTTCTCAAGTTTTGAATTCTGGAAATAAGTTTTTTTTTTGTTGTTCTGAAAGCTTGACCTTGAAAGCGTGACACGTGTTTTAAGTATCCGTCCTCAAGTTGGGCAAAACTCTTCCACAGCCCATAAGGTGTTACCATCATGTGATGATGGAACTGTTAACAACACCAACAAAAGCCTTAGTGTTCTCCTGTCAAACCTGTCTCCTCCCACATGTCACCTTTCACCTCACACTATCCTGCAACCCCCCCCCCCCTCTACATCACACCTCCACCCTTTTTTTTTATTTCACCCGAAAGCTTGGAAAGAGCTGGCCCGGCTGTGTTTGGCCGGCTTAGTGAAACACTGAATTAGAGTTAGGGGCTTTAGGAGAAGGGGCTGAGGTATCATGGTGAAAACTTTTGGCAGACTAATGGAAAGGCGCCTCGTTTTGGAGAGAGCGCTCTGGGGCTCTCTGGGGGCTACGAGGGGCTGAGCCTCATTGCGGTTTGTAACAACAAGCTGTTGGATTTGGAGAGAAAGTTCCAGACACACCCCCAACCCTTACTCAACGCTGCTGCTACCCCCCCCCCTTTTCCTCATGCCTGAAAAAGTCTATCTGTCTCAGGGACATTCAAGCAGGAAGCCCCCTCCATGTGTTTTCCTTCAGCCTATACCAGCCTCGCACCCATCCTCCCTCCACCATCACTCCTTCAGCTTGTAGTTTGCTTCTCCCTTGTTCTTCTTCTCCCGATTGAGGAGACTCCAGACTTCGGGCGGTGGCAAGAGGTTAAAAAACCTTAATCAAGAGGGAACACACACACACACACACACACACGGACGTCTACATGTGACAAGCCCCTGCCAAACAATGGCTGTTAGCTGAGAGAGAGAGAGGTGGGGGCGGAGGGGCAGCGGTAGTTTCTTGGATGGCCTGATTGGAGCATAAACAGCAGCCCAGGAAGTGCTGAAGTAAGAGAGAGAGAGAGAGAGAAAGAGAGAGAGAGAGAGAGGAGGGAGGGGGAACAGGGGAAGTGTGCAGAACTGCCGGGAGAGAGCGAAAAGTTTGGGGACTGCGACGGTGTGTTAGTTAGTTTGTGTCACTCTGGTCGTGTCCAAGACTTTGGCTTTTTCTTTTTCTTTCTTTCTTTTTTTTTTTTCCTATCAGGACGTACTGTATCGCAGAGAGCCAGAAAATAAAGGTGAGTAGCTGCATCTCATACAAGGACACACACCCTCTCTCACACAGATGTGGACTTTAAGAATGCGCAGATGCTCAGTCATGTACATGTGAGCACAAAACAACACCCATTTTCTTCAGTCTCTTCCCTCTGCGGATTCAGATTGATGTGTACTAACGCAAATATCCTCGCATGACACGGGAAGAAGCTTGTTCTTATTACTGCATGCAACACCATATTAAATTCCAGAGGGTATTTGAATGGCATTCACTATACTGCTTTTAGTGTGTCTCTTGTTTGCTGATGGGTCCCCCTGGATCTGAAAGCTGCTTGTTTTGCATAGCTGATTTTTTTTTTGTGGTGCCTTGAACTGCAGCCAGCCATTCAGAATGTGAAGCAAAAAGAGGACCATCTAATGTGTGTGTGGCTGTGTCTAATTAAGCTGATGGGGGGAAGAAGGAGAGTGGTGAGGGGTCAAACCATGAGAGGCTGAACTTGAAAACAGCACGGTCACTTTCACAAAACACAGTCCTCGGAAAAAACTTGCATTACAGTAATTGTCTCAGATTCAGTCCCTGAACAGAACTTTTCGCTGTCTTTTTTTTTTTTTTTTATGCTGCTTCTGAATCAGATCCGTCTCCCTAAGAACACAGAGGAATGACATCTGTGGATGAAAGTAGCTGGTTGGGGATCAGATTTACTGTAGATTTATCCATGTATGGCTCTGTTTGCTCTCTGGATCAAATGCATTGCAAAATTTTCCCACCGGGGAGATGCTGCACTCCTCTGAAAGCCAACATCAGTGTGACTGTGCAACTTCAAAGACATAGATCCGCACATAGATCCTTTAACTAGGCTGAGCAGTAAACTGGAGTAAAAGTTGATCTCTTTTTATCTGAGCACTATGCCTGTTAGTGCCTACTACTCCTCTAGCTTGTCACTAAACTGCCAATAAAATAGCATTTCAAGTATTTTACTGTCTTTACAAGTATATTTTCCTGTCTGGAGCTCTCCAATCCTGCTGGAGTTGCTTTAACTTTTTCCACTGTTGAGTAGATTTGCATCTGGAGAAAGCTGCTCTGCCCCAGCACAGGCAAGCGGAAAAAAAATTAAGTTAATTTCACAGCTATTCACAAGTAAGTGTGTAATATGAATCTCACTTAATGTCAAACTTGGTTTAAAATGTGTTTTTATCAATATAAAAAAGTTACAAAAATCCACATGAATCCAATAGATAATCAGACAAAGCAACACCCTTTTTTTAAAAACTTTTTTTTTAACTTGATATAAAGTAACTAACATCCTTAGGTGGAACACCAGTAGCCATTTCTTTTGTTTCATATTTAATTATGGACTAATTCTCATCCTGAAAGTTTCTAAACCCCTATTTTTTTTTACCGCTCAGTTGTTCAGTGATAGATGTGATTTGTTGTGTCTTTTCAGCGATGAGTATATCAGCTTCATTTCCCCCGCCGGGAGGGAAGGTAAACTGGTACGAAAGGAGCAGCTCGTCAGAAAGACAAATGAGCTTGCACCCTTGCACCCCTTCCAGAGCCCCCGAACCTCATCCTTCATCACTCGTTCCGGTCCTTTGACAGCGTTAGACCTGTCTCTCACGAGTTTTCTCTGTGCTGTGCTGATGTAGCAAGTTGTCAGTTTCTCACAAGACCAGAGGAAACTGTTATTAACTGAAAGGCAGTGTTTTGACTGCCAGTTTAATTCAGCCAAGCTATTTGTCTAAGTGCTAGCATATGAGGTGCAGTGATTTTGGCAGTGTTTTTACAAGCAAAGGCACACAGTAGCTCCTGACCATATGCCTCCATTTGTCTGATACCATTATGAGACGCTAAGGTTACGTCTTGACCACTTGAATACCTGGCTGGAATACTCTGTTGCATCAGTATCCAGACATAACAGATCATATCTGGATCCGTGCAGGAGATCAAGCACTAACCTGTGCCATATGTATTAGCTGATGCAAATCTGAAGCGGTGGAGTTTGATGGCTGCCACGGGACATTGAGCACGGTGGAAACACACCTGGGCCGGTGGCATGTGGCCGAGCGGCGCTGAGGCCAAAGGGGGGAGGTAGGGGCCTGACCAGGTGTTTCTCCAGCGAGCTGTCTGCACTGTCATTCCTCATTGGGCCCCGAGCCAAATCGCGCCACGTCTCATTGAGCTTCAAGGTTTGATCAAACCTCATTACAGAGCTTTCATTTCAGCTCCTGTTGGTGTTTGAGTTATGGAGATGATAAAACATTCCCACTTCATGAAGCTCACAAATGTGTTTGTAAAGAAAATGGAGATGGATAAAGAGAGACAAAATGTTGCCAATACTTTGCTTTTGACCTGCTTCTGACTCACTTAAATTACACAGAACATTTTTTTTCCTAATTCAGACCTAATTTTCATGGCTGCTAAAGTAGTTCCAGTGTAAACTGCTCAGCCATATGTGTGGATTATTCAGAGCAACAGCAACACTGTTTCAGGAAAGAGATGTTGATTTATTTTTTCTTTAAATGTTATTCCAGTTATGAAGGCCGTGAGATATGACTGAAAGTCCCAATAAGTGGATCTAGTGTTAAGAGTTTTTTGTTTAGTAATAAACTTTCAACCTCATTTTCTTTTTCAATTTTGGTGAATTAGCCCTTTAGAATGAAACCATTGCTTATTTTTATGATCCCAACCCAGATCATCCCTGGCTTCTTCTTTGTTGTAAGGTTTATTTAAATCCAGAGTCAGGGACAGTGAAGTGCCCACTGCTGGTATTATGTTAACATTTTTGTCCAATAAGTTTTAAGATTTTGCCTGTGGCAAATTATATTCTCAATTAGCTCCAAACAGCTGATCTCGTCCTCCAGGAAGATTTTCCATCACTTCAGCAGCTTAGTCCAGAAGCTGTCCATATGGCCAAAGCAACTTGGGTCTAATAGAGGTCGGAACGATAGCAAGGTATAATCAGACAAAATCTCAACCACATTAATTGACTTCTACCCGTTGTAAACTGACCTCATTTTAACGCTCTTTGAAAACCTTTTCTTTCTGAAATGGAGGTAAGAACTGTACGGTACAAACACCTTATCTTAGCACAGATTTAAAGGAGCATAAGATTAGCCATTTGTATTACACACATAGACTCTCAGTGTTCCTTTTGGATTCAAGTGAAGTGACTTTCTATCATGACAATGTTTTAATGACTCGTACAGACAAATGTGACAGACCAGTAGAAAATGATTTAATAAGGCAGAGATTTGTAGTTCAGCTAACAACGATTCATTAGTGTCAGTCTTCTCAGTTTTTTTCCTTTTTTCCCCTCATGCCCTTTTTATTTGATGGTCATAATCGCTCTGAAAGGAACTGATTATTTTTCACCACTGGCAGAAATCGAAAGCAGAGAAGAACAGACTCAGCCACAAATACAGAAAAATGTCTGTGTCCCGCAGAGTTACACAAAAAGTGACACTGCAGATGTTTCCCTGATGTTGTTGTCTTTTATTGTGATGGTAGAGGCTTATGTTAGACCTCTTGAGTTTCGCTGCAGTCACTGCTGTAGGCTTTGCTGCGACAAGGATTATCCACAGAGGAGAATCATGCCTGCTGTCGTGATGTCGGATGCTGGTGCAGCTAATGTAAAATTCGCCAAGACATAAAATTAGATTTTTATGTAGGTCCCTCTGCAGAGATCAAAAGAAATGGGTGGACTTAGAGTAAGAGGACAACTGTAAAACATCTGGTAACTGGGCATAATTATATCCTTTTTTTAAAAAAAAATCAGAATAGAAGTGTTTCCATTCTTGTAAAACTTCTCTATTCAGCTGACACAATAGTTTAAAAACCAGTATCTCATCTCCCCTCTTGACGTTTGTGTTCTCCTCCCTCTTCAGTGGCTCCACCTTTTCAGTGAAGTCATTTGTTTGACCATCTCCCCTTTCTTTGGCAATGATGAGAAGGGAGGGGGGGGGGTAAGACAAATGTTCTCCACCCACAGGCTCAGACGGAGGCGGGAGACAAGCAGACACTGACACTCTTCAGTCGTTATTAACCCCCCGAGCTCTTTTTGTTTCCCCCAGTGTAAACATCCCTCCGCCTCTCCCAATCATTTGGCATTTTGGTTTGACGTGGTGCCTCCCGTCACACACGAGAACGTACCAGGGCTGTGACGGACATGCTTTGTGTACACATAAAAAGGACTTGTGTGTCTTTGTATGACTGTTTTGTCAGTGTGTCCTCTAAGTAAATTAATCAGGAGGGAAAACTAAGCAAGATTGATGTCACAGGGAAGATTAAAAGCAAAAAAAAAAAAGATAATTATAATTTGGCTCTTATTAGCAACCTACAAATGCCCTTATGTGTCCGGCTGTATTTGCTTACATCATCCTCATCTTCTTTATAAAGCACTCGAGGTTTTCTGTCCCCATAAAACACTGTTAATTAAGAAAAATTTGAGTATTAAAGATGCCTTAATCCCAATAAATATGGATGAGACTTCTGTTCTGAGTCCTATTTAACAACCTGCTGTGTCTTGCCCTTTTTCCTCGGATGCTGGCTTTTTTATGTTTCCTATCGACCGAATTGACCGCTCGCTAATGACTCATTATCATGCCGTGATTTCATAATTCCCCCCTCTGCCTGACAAACTCGATACACTCTCACTTAGCCACAATTCCCGTTCGTGAAAATATTCCTGCAAATCCTGTGACACACAGGATGTTTTTGTTAAGCCGGGCTATTCTAGGAGCAGCCGCTACCTGAGCTCTGCAGTTGGAAGTTTTGAGGAAACCTGTCTTCTATCTCTAAGTAGTCTGTTTGGAGGAGTCCTTCCTGCTCTGACTGATAAATAGACGGGACCATGTAAACACTGGAAAGAGGCCTAGCAGAGCAGTTTAATGAGTATCAAATAAAACCATTTCAGGCTAAATGTAGTGACAGATATACACGGAGACTGAGAGAGAGAGATAGAGTTGCTATATTTGCACTATATTTGTGTATGGATAGGCAAAGGCACAGAATCAAGTCTGTACA